CCCTTGAAATGGCGGTTGGCATAGTGTATTGTGGTTTACAAATACGCTGCTATATCTGCGCCTTTCGTGCTAGGTTGCGATATCTGCGCCTTTCGCCCCAACACATCTGATTTCAGCAGTCCTAATTAGTTGCCTTTTACAACATTCTTTTCAGGTGGCAGTGGATCAATTCTTTTTTTTTTTCCTCCTTGGAACCCACAAAAAATGTCTTGTGTGTGACTTGTCGCTACTTGGAAGGGCATCAATACGTGGTTATTATTGTTACCGAAGTCGATTATTGGTTGGTTGTAATAGTCCCTGGTTAAACAGATACAGCCTAATAAAGACTCGTGAAATATATTGAGCTGACTGAGTATCCTCGGGAGAAGGGAAAAGGCGTTTATCGATATAGATATACTTTTGGTAAGATGATAAAAGATGAAGACTGCAGGTTACTTGTATATTGCTTAACTAATGTTTGCACCTACTTTCAGTTTACATGCAGTAGTTCAAATATTTCCATTTTTGAAATTTTTATTTTCGAAAAATGGTTAGATTTTCTCTTTTGGCACAGTTTGAAAGTATAATAGAATCAATCAGGTCACAGGCATCCGTAAATGTTCTACCCTGTTGTCCAAGTTCCGCCCTTGTGATAACGAGTATGTTGTAACATCACTAGACATCACTAGGTAGATTACGTGTATCACATTAATGTGCGAAATTCGCTTGCTTAGACAACTGGACCCGCTTTCCTGTTTGAACTCTGGACATCAAAGTTGTCGGCTGGTCTGAAAATGCCCGCTACGTCTCAACTCTAACCCGTGGTAATTAGCCACCTGCCTGTCCGCAAGTTCAGATGGTCGTCTTCTGTCCGTTAGACTGGAAGATTGCATAATTCTTCAACGTAGATGCGTTCCCTGGTCCAGCTGTTAAGCTAACGTTAAATTCCACTGAGATAAATTGTTGGTTGGTCAGACACTTTGATCGCTGCTAGGAAGATCGCTTGGGTTTGCTGTTCAGTTACCTCATTGTTTCACTTTGTAAAGGTTTCTGTTGGACTTGTGTACTTTTGTTGTTGTTGCGTTTAGAAGGAAATCTGTACTCACCGAATGCACCTCGTCACAGTCTCTTTGCGAATTTGTGCACTTGCGTAGATAATTTATTGCTTATCGGCAAATGTTGCGAATAAAGTGGAAATATTTCTTTAATAATTTGTGCAGCTACTTTTAATTATGGCAGGCAGACCATCGGCTCCAAAACAGATAAGCAATAATATTCTACAAGTTGATCAACTGGCAGCTGTAGATGTCAGACCTGATGATTTATATAGAATAATGAACGATAAACTACAGTGGTTGCAATGGCTTGCTATGCACAGAATAATACGGAACTCAGTAGACTGTTCGTCTTGCAACCATCGGATGTCATTAGTGTCAAGGCTAGAATGTTCCGATAGATTCTCTTGGCGATGTCGTCGCTGTAATACTCGTTGCAGTGTACGGACGGGTTCGTTCTTCGTTAATTGTGAACTCCCAACTGAAAGAATTGTGATGGTAATGTTTTACTGGTTGTTCGAAGTCAAGCAAAAAAATGTGATGTTTTTTGAGAGATTGACAAGCTGTGATACTATAGTCAACTATAACAATTATTTTCGGGTAGAGTGTTACAACTGGCTGCTGCTTAGCAACCCTCAGTTGGGAGGATTTGATGCTAACGGACAGTCAGTGGTTGTTGAAGTTGACGAGAGCTATTTTTTCCACCGCAAGTACCATCGTGGTTACTTTCGTCGTGGTCAATGGGTAGTTGGGCTAGTTGAACGTGGTAGTGGTCGTTGCTGGTTGGAAGTTGTTAATAGGCGAGATGCGACAACATTGGAACGCATCATAAGTGAGCATGTGTTACCAGGAACGACAATTGTCACCGATGCCTGGCGAGGCTACAACAACGTTAGTCAACTCAACAATGGCATATATGAACATCTCGTTGTTGTTCATGCTATTAATTTTGTTGACCGTGTACACAGAGACATCCACACCCAAACAATTGAAGGGCTGTGGATGCAAGTCAAAAGGAAACATCGTTTCCAAGGCGGCACTAGTCGTGCATTGTTTAATACATATTTAGCCGAATTTCAGTGGCGTCACAGTCACAAAGAACATGTTTTCGGACAGTATTTACAACTGTTGTGCCACAATTTCGACATATAACTGTCAAATATTATTGGCAGAGTTGCCACTTTTCTTTGACGGAAAGTGTATTGTATTTTTTTTTTCTGCATTTCCTTCTTTTCGTCTGTCATTTCATTTTCTCAGTGACCATACTATCAGGTGGTACACACTTCATTGATAATGAACATCCTCTTGTGTTTAGATAAGTTGTAGCTAACTATATCTTCTCTGCTATGTCGTTTCTACTACACATCTTGGTATTTTTAGATCCATAAAAGTAGATATGATATTGTTGCAGGTATAACGCAGCGCTCTCTTCAATATACATCAAATGCATTAGATATTTAGAGAAACAGGCCGACAGTTTTTTCCCTTCTGAAATCCTGATTTGGCTTCTTTTTGTAATTTAATAATCTGATTGAATATGCTTTGTGTATTATATATATATATATATTGTGTGCATCTTATTTATCTTTCTTATAAAAATTCCACTGTGTGGAAGGGGGGGGGGGGGGGGAACACATGTTTCAGCGCCTCAGTTATTATTTCACGGCGCTTAACGGCAGCAGTGAAAACTGATGATGATGATCTTAACGTTGCTAAACTGATGATGATGATCTTAATGTTGCTACCCATCGGCACAGCGCTCCGATGGATCAAAAATTATTCCTCCCCACGTCACTTCAGTCGATCGAAAACTATTTCTCCCCACGGCGCTTAACTTTAAACATTGCGCAGAAGTGAAGACTGATGATGATGATCTTAACGTTGCTACCCATCGACACAACGCTCCGATGGATCGAAAATTATTCCTCCCCACGTCACTTCAGTCGATTGAAAACAATATCTCCCCACGGCGCTTAACTTTAAACATTGCGCAGAAGTGAAAACTGATGATGATGGCTTCAAGACACAGCGCTCCGATGGATCGAAAATTATTCCTCCGCACGTCACTTCAGTCGATCGAAAACTATTTCTCCCCCACGGCGCTTAACTTTAAACATTGCGCAGAAGTGAAAACTGATAATGATGGCTTCAAGACACAGCGCTCCGATGGATCGAAAATTATTCCTCCCCACGTCACTTCAGTCGATCGAAAACTATTTCTCCCCACGGCGCTTAACTTTAAACATTGCGCAGAAGTGAAAACTGATGATGATGGCTTCAAGACACAGCGCTCCGATGGATCGAAAATTATTCCTCCCCACGTCACTTCAGTCGATCGAAAACTATTTCTCCCCACGGCGCTTAACTTATCGAAAACTATTTCTCCCCACGGCGCTTTAAACATTGCGCAGATGTGAAAACTGATGATGATGGCTTCAAGACACAGCGCTCCGATGGATCGAAAATTATTCCTCCCCACGTCACTTCAGTCGATCGAAAACTATTTCTCCCTACGGTGCTTAACTTTAAACATTGCGCAGAAGTGAAAACTGACGATGGTGGTTTCAATTATGATGATGATGGCCTCAATTATTTCACGGCATTGGTACGTATTGTTTCATATTTTGTTGTTCCATATTTTGTATAACCTCTTGATAACCCCTTGACCTCTTTGTAACCCCTTGAACCCAGTGAGGCTCTGAAATGAATGTTTTGGACAGTCAATAATAAGGGGCCATTATTCGGAAGAGTGCCTAAATTTCAAATGGTCAGATTTCCGAACCAATACACAAATAAGGCAAGAATCCAGGCAAGAGTATGTGTCTAATTTTATACGAAAACGCCGCTGGAACTATGTCGGCCACGCCCTTAGAATGGTTAAATCAAGACTTCCTTACCAAGCCCTCATTTGGACAAGGACACCACAGGGGAAAAGATCTCGTGGAAGACCAAGGGAAACCCTACGTAGAACTACTATCATCAGGTAGGGACTACAGTTTCGACAATTTGCGGTCTTTTCGGCAATTTCCGTTACCCGGAAACCGTTCAGAACTTGTTCGGGAAATCTCGGCTGGTTTCCGTATGGGTCCAAATCTCTCATGAAATTTTGCCATTGGTGGGAATTTGGACCAGCTATAAATAGCTGAAAACAGCGTGGGGGAACCCGATTAACAGCGCATGTCTACGACAGCCGGAATTCCTCTGTTTTTCTGTTACATCAGTTTGATTGAAAATAGCTATAAGGATTCAGGGTTGGCTTTAGGCTTTAAAAATTACTCGTACTGGTAATGCTAGTTATAATTGAATTCTCCGTCTAATTTTACATTTACATTTACAAATTTCTTTCTGTACAGTGGCTTTTTAAATTTACAGTGACATTTTTTAGGCAATCGGTATGTGGCTGTGTCTCATTGTCTGCCATCTTGTCCAGTGACAGTCCTATGTCAACAAAGCCAAAACAGAAGTGCGCATGCGCAGAGAAAACCTTGTTTCTAAGACGCAAGTTTTAGCAGCTGCTTTCTACATCTCATCTCCACAAAACCTACATATCTCAGCTCAGAAATGACATACAAGCCTAAATGAGGTACCATTGGAAAGAGATTGTTTACAGCTATCTAACTGTGCTGATTTTATTGGCGTAGAGGGCATTTTAAAAATTTGACTGAAGTAGCTACATCAGGGAAGGCTCGCTCATGGGCCACTCAAACATCCAAGACCTACAACAGATTGCAACGAACCGCCATGCATGGAGAGTCATGACCTCTGCCCTATGTGCCGCACTCGACACAAGAGGAAAGACTTTAACTAACTTAACTAAACTTACTATTATTTATTGTTACTTACCAGTTAGTTACAGTTACTGTTGGAAGTAAGATCATCGTGTGTATGAGAGGGCAAAATTTTACACGACGAGCTACTGAATTATGAATTGTATAGTATTTAACTACATATGATATCTACACTTACGCGAGGTATATTTCCTGCCCATCGTATCGAACTTCTTGAATTTGATGCTCTATAGCGGCTTCGACGCTAATATTTACTGAGGGGGCCGCCATTTTGTATTATACCAATTTCGTTTCCAACAAAAATTGCCAACAGTGGCCAGATCATCCCTGCCTAGCGGGTGCTAAACGCGGATGTGCGGCCAAAATTAAATTTTTATAAAAGTAAGAACATTTTATGTAATAAATCCATGTTACCGGGGGTCAGAAAAAGACTTCTCGCGTGCTATTTAGAGCCATAAAGATGTATTAAAGAAGTTCAGTGTAGAATAGTTCAAACAAAGGTAGCATTTTACAAAACGAAGAATATTGTATGCAATCATTATTTGTCAGATAACTTCTTCTTCTATATTAATACAAATGTTAATTTTCAGTTGTCGTTAACTATAGACTTGGAAACTACTGAACCGATTGCTTTCAAATGTTCACACAACAGTGCGCTTGACACAACGCGTGATTTTTTGTAAGAAAATCGTACAAACCACTAACGATGTAGCTCCAGCAACGGTCAAATCATTTTTTGTTTCGTTGCCGAATTTGTTTTTAGTTGATTGGCCACCTTCGACTGCTGATTTAACAGGGCTGCCAATAGATAGATGCCTTGCGTTTCTTTAATCATCCATTTTCGTCCTTATTAGGACTAAATTTTTTGTCATTTGAAGCCCTACCCTGGCTTTTGCCAGGGGCCGCAATATAGGCAGGCCATACATATGGCCAAATGTCTGAACGCGGTTTCTTGGACCTCTCTACGGCGATCCTCATCCACATGGTGGCACTTTGTGTCATCGGGTGTTTATCGCTTGTGTGATGTCCTAGTGGGGTAGAAATTCATTCATTCATTCATAGATAGATGCCTTTTCCCCCAGGATCAATCTCCAACATTTCTTTACCGATCGCATTCAAATTTTCACACAGCGTTGCCTTAGACTCCGCGCGTGTTTGTGTGTATGAGTTTTCCACAAACCACGAATGACGTAGCTCCAGCAACGATCATTTCATTAGTGATTTCATTGCCGGCCCGGATTTGTTTTTAGTTGTTGGCTACCTTTGACTCTGTGTGTAACACCTAACTTCACATTATTAAATAATTTCATTTCTACTAAACGCTTGAAGAGTTGTTAGCGTAGTTAGTTGTAAGAAGCATTTCGCCTTTCAGGCGATAGGTGTTCGATTCCCCGCTGGGTGATATTTTTTTTTGGGGGGGGGGGAGGCCTAACTGGGTGGCTGCCACGTTTTGCTGTGGTTTATAGCTAGGCTGCAATATCTACACATTTTTTCCGCTTTTGTTTACAGCCAACCTGCGATAGCGGCGACGTGATGCTCAATGTTCATGTCAAGGGTAATATTCGTTCGCCCTTGAGAGGGCGGTTGGCACGTTGTGTTGTGATTTACAGCTAGGCTGCGATATCTGACCTAAAGTCTTCAGTCTTTGATAGTAGAGTTGTAAGTATTCGCCCTTCATGCGGATGACCGGTGTTCGATTCCCCGCTGGGTGCTAATATTTCTGTTTCTCCTAAAGGGGTGGTTGGCACGTTGTGTTGTGGTTTACAGCTGTCTGTGGTTTGGTTGTCTAATATATTTTAAGCATTGTTCGGTAAAACCACATCTCTGGGGCCTCAAGAAATTGTTTGGCCTGCCTACCGATTGTCCAGGAATCACAACGCATTGACTTTAAATATAAGAGCTTACTTGAGGAGGCTAACAGTTATTGTTGTACAGTCCACATTTTCCGCGTTAAAATTTCAGCGAAATGTAATTACAATCTAACTTATCCGCTGCACCTTTACGAACACAGATGGAGGATTGGTCGCACCTCGAGATAAATATAAAGGCGATTTTTAGCACACTGCGGTTGGCATTATATGCAGTATGATAAACTTTGAGCATACGCACCCAGTTTGAGAGCCTCTGCTGTAATGCCTTGGTAGAGTCAGCAGGCAAAGACCTTGCCAGCTGCTGTACCGGGTCGCACTTTCCCCCGCTACTACATACTTGGGCAACAGCAACTATCGTGTTACTGCGAGAGTTATTTCAGTCCATCGCAGTGTGTGCAGAAACTGGTGTAAGGTAACCACTATTCGTATTGCCCGACCGCAAGTGTTCGGCCGAATACCGAATAGTTATTAGGTCCACTATTCAGCTCCGAAGCGAATACGAAGCGAATATTCGGTACAGCCCTAATATAAAGTCAAACTTTACAGGTCGCTGGGTGAGTTACAAAAGACAGTGAGGTTCATACTAGAGACAACATTGCAGATATAGATAATTTATTTCAAGCGAACGAAAGAAACAGAAGAATTCTTTGTCAACTAAAGACAAGAACGGGAAGTAACACGATCCTGAAATACGGAAGAAAAGACATAAAACCGAACGAAAAGCATATCAGCAAACTTCACAATATAACGAACACAAACAAAACGCGAATGGCTGTGGAGCCTTTATCAGCACATGCATAAATAAAATTAAAATACCACACACATATACAGAAGAGAATCCTGAACAGTTAGTTGATCGGTTATTAAAATATTATTTGGAAGCGGCTGGGGTGTGATTTTATAAACTAATGATAATGATGGAAATTATGACGGTCAATGGGAGAGTCACTTCGGTGAAAATTAGTCCTGAAATCCTATTTGCCCTGGCAATACCGTAAACGACTCAATGAGAAAATAGGACGAACCTGGACCGAAAAACCACATTCCAAGGTGGAATCCAAAATCGGACAGTCAGCTGTATTACGTTTTGGGCAGCAGCAAACACAACGAAATTAGATTTTCGTCAAAACCTTTCTCTGGAAGGCTATTGTGCAGTACTGTTAACTCTTTCCGTATCAGGCGTGTGTTATATTAAAACAATAAATATGTGGCTCTGAAGTAACTCAGTAAACTCGAATGTGAAGAAGCAGAAGAAAACGGGGACAGCAGAGGTTTACATTTTTTTTTAAACGCAACAGGGAAGCCGGACATTTCTACATCATGTCTACAGAAATTAGTGAACATATAATGCTTTTATCGATGACCTGCGCCCCATTCTGTGTGATCCTCTCTTTCTCACCAAAACCCTGGGTTGAAAACCCAGCTATGCTGTAGGCCCAGGCGGATCCCCCCAAGGTAGAAAAAAAGTAATGCTGCGCCGTGACATTTCATTGACTTCAAGCAAGAGCTACTGATAGCAACGTCACTGAGTTCTAGAAATTACTGTCAGAACAATCTTATCCAAATATTTAAAAAGGTGGCATCTTATACGACAGCTTTTACTTACTTTCTGGATCTATATATCTATGCGAATCAGCATTCTCTATAATGAATACAATACAATCTTATGAAAGAACCCAATAGCTGATGATTATTTGATTTCTTGCTTGAGAGTAACAGTTACCTAATATGAATGAATGAAATTCAACTCCACTTGGATATCCAACACAAAGTGCCACCATGCGAATGAGGATCACCCGGGGAGAGATCCCAGAAACCTCGTCAACCGTAAGGTTATATTAGGACCCCCGACTACAGCCGGGATGGGGCTTTAAAATAACGAGCAATTGAGTTCCGTATCGGGATGACAAGTGTTATTTACATAATAAGCTTTGCATTATACAAAACTCGTTGATGGGATGCAGCGTCGTTTTGGTAAATGGGGAAAACATATCCTTAAATCCCAAGTCTTTCACTGTCATATCAATCGATGCTGGAGTTCATGAATGACATACATTGTCATATCTTGGTTTTGTAACAACAGCCCCTAACACTATTTTCTGAAGAGTGTGTACCTGTTGCTCTGTACTCCGACAGTTCAAATATCCAACACCAATAAATATAAGTAATAATATGCCCGTTTTTCTCTAGTCCTTCTCTTTTCTCATTCTCCTTCCTTATGTTTCCTTTCCCACTTCTAACCCTACCAGGTGCTGGGAGTATCGGCGTCAAGAACTATTACTGTATCTTCTGGGAAGATTCTGTGGAACATTTGATTCCAATGCTGTATGCAATTTTTGTGAGTAATCATAAACAGTCACCTCAGTATTTTACTCTTACTAGGGAGAAGGCCAGGGGCATTACATCCATCATCCCCTACAAGATGACATACTTGTGCTACAGTAGCCTTTTTTCTAAAATCCTCTCACATTAGTTATACATAATTCGGCATCCATATGTACATTCAACGCATAAGTACCTACATGCAGTGCACACACATGTATATATTCACACAGCTACCACATCCACGCTTTCTCACGCAACGTGCATGCTTGTGTACGAACATACATTCTCGTGTATAGAAGCATGCAGACCCAAAAAAAAAAAAAATCAGAAACTGTAACAGGATCCTAAATGCACAAAAAAGGTACAGTGAATACAATTGGCTATATCAGAAAAGATATTGTCCCTGCTGTAATAATGACAAGTAACCGAAAGCTGTTGTAAGAAAAGTGCGCCAAAGGGGAAATTTAGGAAAGAGCTGCATAGTTTGTGAATTTAGGAAAGAGCTGCATAGTTTGTGAACAGATTACATCGCTTGAACAATGTACTTGGCATGCCGCCATGGGAGCTATGCTAGAGGTCGCTTGTTTGCAGGGATTACTAATTTTTAGTATAATGAAAAGCTTGGAAGAATAATGTGGTTTTTTCACAACACATGGTCGATTTATGGCTTCCGCCTTTGACAGCCATTTCTGTCTGAACAAATAAGCACTTTTCTGAAGACTGTCCATACATTCCGATAAATACCTATCCCCAGAGTTGCATATGCCATATGTGGGTGTGTTTTCTAACCTACAAGACAGTGTTTCCCAAACATTGTTGCGCCACCGCCTCTGTTCATTAAAAAATTCTACCAGCCCCACCCCTCCCCACGAAATATAATCATGTGCCACGGCTAAAAGAAAAGGCGGTCATCATTCGCCATCCTACTCGATCAGTAGAACCATGGATCAGGTGGTGTTCTTGTCCCGCCCCCTGCGTGTGACCAAGCCGTAGCCGTCAAGATATTCATCTCATTGCTTTCTCTCTGTCTTCTTACTATCAATCCTGCTAGCTGTCACCGAGTTCTCTAATCTA